AATTACATCAGTTGTAGCTGGTGGTTTTCACACAGCAAGTAGAGCTGAAGTTAAGGGTGCGAAATATTTTTTGGTTGATACTGTAAAACCGGTCCTAAGTTGACAGTTTTTTTTACTTTTACTAAATTTAAAACCTTCTTTAGTTACATATTGGATTTCTGGTTGACAGTTAAAGTATTAAAATGTTTAATCAAAGTGGCACTTAGCATCCAAGTTATAAAATGTCTATAGCACACACATACACACAAGCTTAATTACTTAACTCACAATAGGTTTATATACGCAGAGGTTCACAAAAAGTTCACGAAGTTTAATAAAAGAATTGAAACAGAAAGTGGTAAAAGTTAATCTCAGCAGTACATACATTACGGCAAGACCTACAATCTACTGGACATTTTCGGGAAGATTAGGCGGCGAGGAACACTAAACAGTCCCTATAACTACTTCTAATCAAGGAAAACTCAAACCCTCGCACATTTGATACTCGTAGATGGACATGTTAAAATACCAAAAAGTAAAGCGAAACACTAAATAGTTTCAATACACGGCAATAAACGGTGCTGAAGACACAAAAAGAGTATAGGTGGATCAACTACATAAACCCTCATACTATCGACTTGCTTTTACACTGTTCATTACCAGTGGGATCACATTGAGTAATTTCGTGTTTTTTTTTCTTGTTTTGTGTGTGTGTGTATGTTGCAGTTAGCACTAAGTGTAAGGAACTGAACAAAATATTGAGTGACATTTTTTATTATTTTTGTATAATATACATATATGTTGGTCCACAGTAATTAGTGGGATTAATAATTGATGGTGTTTTTATTTCTTTAAGCCGCTTGTTGAACAAATAATTTAGTAAAATGTGATTAAAAAGCTGAATAGTATAGACTCCTTCAACGGTATTTTTAAGGTAAAGCAATAAAGGTATCCATAAGAAAAATATTTTTTGAAATATAGTCTAAACTATTAGACTTATCATATAAGAGAATCTTGTCATGTAAATGTGTAAGATAAAACTTAAGTAATTCTAAAAATGTTAAATATATATAGTGGCTGTTGTTGTTGTTTTTGAATTTCACGCAAAGCTACACGAGGGCTATCTGCACTAGCCGTCCCTAATTTAGCAGTGTAAGACTAGAGGGAAGGCAGCTAGTCATCACCACCCACCGACAACTCTTGGGCTACTCTTTTTCCAACGAATAGTGGGATTGACCGTCACATTATAATGCCCCCACGGCTGAAAGGGCGAGCATGTTTGATATATAGTGGCAAACTGAAAAAAACTATTTATTTATGAAATATGAAGGGCCGAAAACTTATTCAGTCGTATGAATTCTGTATTAAGTCAGCTTGTAGCTTTGTTTGTGTTCATATATGTGTCCATATAACTCCTGCAATTCTGGAACTAGCAGAACCAAAATTGGCTGGCAGAACTTGGAGTGGTCCTGGTGATGTTCTTAACTATATGCCATAGCCCCCTGCCAAGGTGAGATAAATTTCTCCAGAAAGTCACTCAAGCATGATGGGAGGTCTAAGAGTAGATTTTCAGGGCCACTGATCCTGAATCTGGCATATTATTTTATGTTCTTGTCCTCCCTCTGGATCTAAGATACGTATTGTTGGAAACTATTATACCTCCACAGAAAACCTAGCCGGACCAAACTTGGCACACGTGTTAAGATACAGCGGACGGGTGTCCTAACGTTTTTTTTTGTTTTTTTTTTTCAGGTAAGGATCCCACCTGGGGTAGCTATAGAAGTAATTGGGGATAATGGAAGAGATTGATCAGTATATTTGGGCGTCTTAAAAACCGCAGGGGAGCGCGGTTTTTTACGCTAGTAAACTAAACGTAGAAAGAAAGTACACTGAAATATATATATATATAAATATTTGAACTACTTGTACCCAGTAAATTATATGAACGTATTCACAATATCTGTTATTATCCACCAAGACAGCATTTTGAAATACTTAATAACATGAACATTTTAAAACTTCTTAGTAATAAACTGGAGGCCTAGCTTCTAAAATATACAGTAAAGAATTCATTTGAATAACAGGACGTAATCAAAACTACAAACTACACAGAATGAGACTGAGTGACGATAAAATTTTAAAAAGATAAAGAAACTGGGTGACTAGTAACTTATAGTAGAGTTTAATGCAATAAGAGGTCTGAATGGTGATTATATTGTAAAGAAATACGGTAATAGGGTTACTAAATACATTGGCTTATTTAGTGATCAATAAAATTTATAAATGGTCTATTATATATATAATCCTTAGTGATCAATAAAGTAATAAAATGTCTTGTACACAGATGAACATTTGATGTTCAGTGAATTGATATTCAATAAAATTTAGAAATCACTTGTAACATAAAAGCACATATTAAAAAAGCTTTATAAATGGTCTGCTATATCCATAATGATTATCAATAATGACTCTATTGACCTTAGACTGCGTTCAGTTACAGAAACATGGAAAGATTCCAAGATTGGAATAATATTAATCTTCATAAAAGTTGTTTTGGTTTTAATAACGAATTTTCCGTAATTCAGTTACGCAGATTTCGAAAATAATACTTGCCTCTACACGTGCTTGGTTTTCAACATTCTAAAAGTTCTGACATCCTTTTCTTCCTTTGTTTTCAAATCCAGTACATCTTTACTTACAACAAAAGTCTCAGCCTGCTACATTCAGGGAACACACACACGCATATGTATAAAAACAAAAATCGAAACTGAAGTATTCACTCATGGTTTGTCGGATTCTTAAAAAAAACAAAATAACTGAAGTTCCCAAAAGAGTAATAATCTTTTCAAATAACTAACTTATGGTAAATTCTAATTTGCTTAAATATATCTGAATTTAGCTTATTTGACGGCGACATCTGAATCTTAAAGTCAAAAATGTTTTCGAATTAGAAAACCTACAAATTAAAACATTTCAAATAATATGAAGTACTATTAATAACACAAATCGCAATATAAGCTACAAATGATTGATCGTTTAAATTGTTTTGGAACATTATTAATGCGAGAATGTACAGTCCTTTCCAGCACATTTAACGTTCCTAATAAAAGACTCAGCATGGAGTCAGAAATCAAACAAAAAGCTACCAGAAGTCTGGTTCAAAGTTTCAATTCACGCTAGATGTCCGGCTACAAAAAGTTTACTATTTCACTGTCAACTGCCCCAAAAGTTGTCGATATATTCAAAACAGTTTTCAACAATTCCCAAAAAGCACAAGGCTTACAAAGGTTACAAAAGTTAAGATTAATTCTTAAACTTACAAATTCTTTAGAGTCGTACACAAAAAGCTAATGATAGCTTATAACAAACATCTACGATTAATATCTAGGCTCAAAAACTCCTTTGAATTCCATACAGAAATCTCTGCCTAAAATGGTCACTCAAACTAAACTGAACCAAGCTTCTCAAAAAAGAAAAAACTCCTCTTT